AGGGAGAATTGCATATCTTCTCCACACTGTTCCAACCTCAATACATATATGTTGACTATATGTATATGAGAAAAAAGTTCATACAGTCAATCTTCAGAACAAAACAGCCATCTTGCTTAGCAACAAAATTCTGGTCCCAATTCTGGAGGACTACCTATAACCTCCATGTACCTTAGAGCGCATTACAGAATTACATAACCATAGCAAGAGAAAAAATAAACACCACTTATTCCTCCTTTATCTTTTGATGCTTCTTTACAACTCACAAAGCCACTCTGTCTTTTTTATAAAGGATTATTTGTTCCTAATACAAAATCTTTTAAATCTTCACCAATCCCTGCAAAGCTCACCCACTTTGCACCTTCTTGAAAACTCATTCTTTAGCTCTTAGTAGCTAAGGCATAGAAAAGTGAGAAAAAGATCCAATTTAAAACACACACATACACACACAAAGAGAGGGAGAGAATAAGTTACACCGGGTTATTTCAAATATAGAGTCACTTTATTTCAACCTTTTAACTACAAGCAACCTTTTTAGTGTTATAACAGTTCTTCACCGCAATACATTTTCAGTTTTGTGTTATGACACTTCCTTGCTGCAATAGTTCAAAGTATGTAACAAGACCCTACCTGGGAAACACAATGCCCGCAAGGGTATCTTTTTTCTCAACCATGGCACAGTTTGATACAGAGGCTGCAATTTTGAAAGATTGCTATAGAAAGCTTTCAATTAAAAGAGGGGGGGAAATCTCCCTGACAATAGATCTTCTAATTTTCACTGTCAATAGAAATCTGTAGGCTCCAAAACAGGTGCTGGGTTTGACTATATAGTCTGGTGAGCAACGAGTCTAACTCTAATTCATTAAAAAGTCTATAAACAAGATGGCCTTTGTCCTACAGAGATGAAAGACCTGCAGCTATAATGGGATGAAAGGTGTACACAAGGATGAAGAAAGCTATTAGAGATCTATGTCCTTTCTTAAACATGTCCTGGCATGCATTCTTGACAAGGGAACAAACCCATGCAGAGAAAACTCACTTCATTTCACCAGCCTATGCGAAAGCTACTGAATCTTTCCTATCAGCTTGCTAATAAAAAACTACACTAAAAGAGAGAAAATACCACTATGATAGAATCATTATTTCCAGAATAGCATATTTCCTGCTACAGTGTAGTCCAATCCATATCAGTGGCATAAGAAAATGGATTAGTTTTCCATGGATTGAGAACGGGGAGATGATTAGATGATTTCCCACAGACACAGTGTTTGTTAACCTTGGTAGTCTGAAGATGTTGTGGGCTGCAACTCCCCAAATTCTCCAGCCAGCTATGCTGGGAAATGCTATGCTGTGCTACTTTTTCTGGAACTGTGTTCACACCATACATTTAATTCAGTTAAATGCCCAGGACTTATATTAATATAACATCAAAAACTTGGATAATTTTAGATTATACTTAAAAGATGTGTGTATCTATAAGTGTGGTTTCACCTGCCGTGTGAAGCTCACATGTTGAGTTAGATTTGGTTCATTGGAGTGTGTGATAGTAAACGTGCATTAATTCAGTACTAGAATAATTCACACAGACTCTGAGGGAACAGTTCAGGAACAAGGATTTTCTTCCCCATCCAAATTCATATCGGCTAAGTTAGTTCAGACCACAAACAGTTTTCACTAGTTGATTGTAGTGTTTCTCAACTTCGTCAGCTTGAAGATGTATGAACTTCAACTCCCAGAATTCCCTAGTTAGTATGCTGGCTGGGAAATTTAGGAAGCTGAGAACCACACATCTAAAGGTTACTAAGAGTGAGAAATATTGGTTGATTGTATGCATGTGTCATGACAGAACAGGACTCCAACTTGTAGAAATATATCCTGCATAAAAATGCAGTATAATGCACTATGAACTATGCATTGATTTATACAATAATAAAGAAACTGAAGTATATAAATTGTGCCAAATGATAATTAAGATCTCCCTATTCAGTGTTTCATTGGAAAAGTTTCAAAAGTTTCAGAAAAGTTTGTTTTTTTTAAAAAAAACCAATTTTGGTGAAAATTGCTTAAACTTTCATGTAGGCTAAGCTCACACAAGTTAACTCATAATGTGGTTAGTTTGGCTTTATTGATCAAATATGCATTCTTAAAGCAACTTTCCCTGGCCCACTCTTGACCAGGTATTCACCTCCCAGAATTTCCACCCAGCTTGATCAAAGAGGCTTTAAGTTTCCTCATGCTTTTCTGCCCATGAAACCCTCTTCCCTTCATTGACTGTCCATGAAACATTTTCCAAAACTAATCTTGTGTTAGTCAACTTTCTTAGCCGGGTGAACATTTGGCGAATCAGAAAGCAAGCCCTAGGCCACTGCACCTCATGTTGCAATAAGAAAGAAGAATCCGGCTATCATTTGTGGCATTTCATATGCAAAGGGTGTGTCCCTCTTTATGACTTTGTTTAGGCCAAGCTGGGTGGTTGGGGAAGGGGGAATGGTTTAAAGTTCTCTCTGCTCTGAACTTCTATAAAGATTTGGTGTGGATTCAGAGACATCCAATCTGTACATGCGGTGGTTTCACAGACAACACGTGATCTAGGCTAAAAACAGATACACAGAAACTCGTACCTATAATTATACATTTTAAATAGAACTTTGCCCTAAAGAGTATTCTACTCAAATCCAGCTGGTTTATTCAACCCCATTAACAAAACAATGAGAAACCCCCATGAATAATAACTCTCCATTTAAAAAAATAGTCAGCCTAGCCCTAGCCAAACTGAAAAGTGACAAGTTTCCTTTAATTTGTTTAAACCCATTGCCATGTGCTCAGGCTTTGCTCATTACAAAGCCACAGCAAACAAGGAACTATCAGGAAATCTTTTTTAGGTCATTAAGTTCCAAATCCACAACCTGCTTTGACCCCACCCCCACCCCCGAAAGCAAACTTTTTCCTCATCTGAAAAGGTGCATCATATGTAATGAGTTTGTGGACTACAAACCAGATTGAAAAGAATTTCATTGAATAAAGCAAGCTAGCTTGTTAGAACAGCTCTGAGCTTTCTTCTTTCCACTAGGATCTTTCCATTTATAGATGCTTCTGCAGCAACTCCATTGCTCTTCAATATGATCCAAATCCTTTAACATCCACTACAAGCTATGACCTAAACCTTGGGATCTCAGACCCAAGATTGAACTCACCATCATTGCAAAAGTGCTGGGAGAGAGCTAAAGTGCATATATGATAAGATGTGAGATAACAATAATTGACTGTTATCTTATGCAAATGTATCTCTGAGCAATTTTGAGAGTGTATTCATAAAACTCTGATTAATTCATTTATGATGCACAACAGTTCAAGATAGCAAATAAAACTGGGAGCTCTTTAGACTAATCTTGATAAGCAGTTGGTATCTCTTAGCAAACTTTTGTTCACCCTTAACATATATGAGGCTATTTTCATAACCCTGCACTGGACATTTAATCAGTGGATTAGATGAGGCTATGGTATCATCACATTACTCCACAACAAAGATTGCATGTTATGTTCATATATTTTTAAGTAGAAGAAAATTCAATTTTTTGTTTCTAGTTTATATTGAGGAATAACTCTAATGTTTTGAGGGCGAGGAGCATAGTCAAGATTTCATTATCAGTAGGCTCTAACCCAACAATATGCATAAGGAGATTAAAATGCAGAAAATGTCATCTGTCCATTGGATGACACAAGGATCAAGCAAAGTGTTTGTCAGGCTACCTTATTGCAAGTGTGCAACATAATGGGTTCAGTTATTACAGATTAATTAATTTCATGAGTTAAAGTCCTGCAATTTGCTATCCATCCCAATCCTCTGTTTTCATACACTAAAGGCAGTGCCACTCATTCCCAAATTAATGTGTGTGGTATTGCAACTTTAGATTCATGCAGGTGCACTTTTCAAGGTCCTTTAAGGCCAGCTAATTACAAGATTTCAAGGGATAGGTTGAAAAAAAATGTAATAGGCTTGAAGATCACTTAAAGATCACTGAACAATTGGTTACCCATTAATCCAGTAGGGCTCGTATCTAGAGGGGAAATTTGTTGAAATTCAACAAATCCAACAAGTCAACCCTTTTATCACTGTCCAAGATATATGGCTGGAATAAATGCATTTTAGTAAGAATCCACATTGATTTACAAAAGGATTTTGGAGATGATAGCTCCCCTGTTTGTTCATGACCCCTACCAGACTTGAGAATATCCGCCCTTTTGATCTAATGGTGGTTTTAAGAAAAAACATAAATGCTAGTTCTACCTTCCTTTCTAAGTGCCGAGTTGGACAGAGGTCCCAATTCATAGATTTGGCCTTCACAACATCAGGAAGCATACCCTGAAGACACCATGCCAAATATATCTAGAGACACACTATTGTCCATGTGGTTGATGTGAGGATCAGAAATGTTCCGGAGATAAAGCTACTTTATAATGGTGAGAAAATCCAAGCCTTTGAAAAATACCAAACAAAATTCTGTTTACTTAACCCAAGAATCCAAGAAGCTGTAAGAAAGGATATCTTTTTTTAATAAAAAAAAAAAAATCCAGTTTTTTACCTGTGAGTAATCAAGTAAAAGTCTGGAAGGAAGATAAACAACAATTCCTGACTGATTCATGCCAGCCATAAAGAAGAAAGAAGGTTGCTGGAAGGCTAGGTTCAGGTTTAAGCAGGCCCTTAATGCCCCAATTACTGTGGGTCATTTTTGTTTCCCACAATACCTCAGATCAGCACGGGGCAGGGAAGAAGATGGCTGCCTCTGCCAGATAGTCAAGGACCTGCACCTGGGAATCTAGGACAAGTATCCTCAGTGCCCAAAGATCTCTGGTAGGTCACCATCCTTGAGGTTCCTAGGACCAGGTGCAGGTCCCACCTCCATCAGGTTCTTTCTGGCTTCCCAAGAACTACCTTCTACCCTCAACCACCTTCTTACCAAGCACGCCCAGCCACTTTCCACCATCAGCAGGAGACTCACCCATGTTCACGAAGCTCATGACCATATCTGCCTCGGTCAGGAAGTTGCTGTCCTGCAGGCTGGCCAAGGGTGGCCCTTGAGTACTGAAGATCGGCTTGTACGGGTAGGAGAAGCCTTCGCCGCTTTCGCTGGGGCCCTCTTCCTCCACCGACATCGCATTGTAGAGGTCCAGCATGAACATGGGAGCCGAGTTGTGCTTGCCGTGCAAGTGGGGCCTCGGCCGGTGGGGCAACCCCAGGATGGACAGGATCTCCCGCTGCATCTCCCGGCGCTCCTGGCTCCGGAGCCTCCTGTGGATGAAACTCGAGTGCACCTCGTTCTCCAGGGTGAAGTCCGCCAAGGCGCACCGCAGCTCCAGAATCCAGAGGAGGATCCAGACGATCCGGGAGGCAGCCGCCAGCTGCTTGAACCACCCCGCCGCGTGCATCTCCGTCACGGGTGTGTGTGTAGATCTAGGAAGCCAATGGGCTAAGCAGCAGCGGCGGCCGGACGAAAGAGCTGACCATTAAAAATAAAGGGGGGCAGCGGAGCGGAGCGCCCCGCGGAGGGATCACTCGGCTCGGGAGCTGCCCTGGGAAGCCGACCTCGAGGCGCACATGATAAGCCCGGGCGATCGCGGCGGGAAGCGGCTCAGTTGGCAAAATCCATACACGGGGGGGGGGGGGGGGGGGGAAAAAAAAAGAAAGGAGATCGAGCGATTCCCCCCACACACACACCCTCCTCCCGCCTCGCCGCTTCTCGCGGGGACCGCGCTCCTTCGCTCCCTTGCCCGGCCGCTCCAATTCCTGTGCGCGTCTGGCCGCAAGTCCAGGAGTTTTTGAACTGCTGCTTTCTTTTGCGAAGCAACAGGCGGCAGCTCGGGCGCTCAGTGGGCGGAGCTGGCTTCTTCCTCCGCTGCCTCCCCAAAATGTCTGGGAGAAAAAGCCGCAGGAGAAGAGAGTCAAGTCTCTTTCCTCGCCGGGCTCCGATTTTGGCTCGGAGGCATTTCCAAGCGAGCCTCCCCCCCCCACCCCTCGATTCCCCGCCTCCGGTCCTTCACCCTCACATAGACACACACACACACCCCGACTGGCTTGGGTAAGAATGAGCGCGGGGCGCACACGCACACTCGTGGCGGGTGGTGCGTGGAGGGCCTGCCCCATCTGGCGAAAGGGAAGAGAGGCACTTGTTTTGTATAGGCGCGCAGCCCGTCCCTGGGCGTTCCCAAAGGAGCGAAGCCCACTTGCGTAGTTTTGCTCCCAGGTAAGCGCGTGGGCGGGCGTCGTGGGCGGCAGGGTTTGGGGTGGGGGGGGAGCGCTGAACTAGCCGCCAGTTCCACGCGGGGGTTTGATTCTGCAGAGCAGGAAGGGGATGTTTTGGATGGCGAGAACTTGGCTGTAGTGCTAAGAAGCTAAATTGTATTTAAATGTATAGGGATGGATTCTTTTTTTCCTTGCTTCCTTTTCTGATCCGCTAGCCTGTTTTTCGTAAAGTGCGTTCTTTTAAAAATTGTCCTTCTATTCTTCTTCTTTTTAATTTGATTTATATGCCGCCCTTCTTCGGAGACTCAGGGCAGCTTACAATGTGCTAAGCAATAGCCTTCATCCTTTTGTATATTTATACAAAGTCAGCTTATTGCCCCCACAAACTGGGTCCTCATTTCACCTACCTTAGAAAGGATGGAAGGCTGAGTCGACCTTGAGCCTGGCGAGATTCGAACCTACAGTAATTGCAGGCAGCTGATGTTAATAACAGGGTGCTTTAGACCACTATACTACCAAGTACAGTGGTACTGTACTACCTTTTCTTCTTCTTCTTCTTCTTCTTCTTCTTCTTCTTCTTCTTCTTCTTCTTCTTCTTCTTCTTCTTCTTCTTCTTCTTCTCTTCTTCTTCTTCTTCTCCTATTATTATTATTATCTTTATTCATTAAATATGAAACTCAGTCAACTGCAGCTACTTCAGCTGACTGCTAGTTCAGCAGATCAGCAGATCAAATCTCACCCGCTGAAGGTTGACTCAGCCTTCCATCCTTCCGAGGTGGGTAAAATGAGGACCCAAATTGTTGGGGCCAATATGCTATTTAGTATTTGGTGTAAGCCGCCCAGAGTACTCGGAGAGTGGGCAGCATAGAAATATGAGTAATAAAATAAAATAAACTGATCATTCAAACATGCATCACAAATACCATTGGCTGGTGTTCGTGGTTGATATGGGTTGCCTCTAGCATCCTAGGTATCAACCAAGTACCTTCTTAAGATGGACGATGTTCCAAGTAGCGCAGTTTTTTGCAGTTCCGCTGGTGTTATTGCAGGAAGCTGCAATTTGTTGATGTATCTTATAAAATTCTTGGACATGGTACCAAGTGCCCTGATGACAATGGCTATCACTGTTACATGTTTCATCCATAGCCGTGTAGTTTTGATGGCCAGGTTGCGATATTTCATGATTTTTTTTCCAGTTCTTTTTCTTCGACTCTGGCATCTCCTGGTACCGCGATATCAATAAATTGTATGTTTCGGTTTTTGACAACTATGATACCTGACTACTTATTATTATTATTATTATTATTATTATTATTATTATTATTATTATTATTTCTTCATTCCTTTTCTTTCTAGCTACTTCATTGAGTGATACGCTTCAAATAAATTGTATTGGCAGGTGAGAATGAATTCAAATTTTGGTGAAAAATTATTATGTTGACTTACAAATGTATATGGAGCTATTTAAACTCAAGTTATAATTAGACCTGTGTGGTGATATGAGGGGTGGTTTTTTTTTTCACCTTTACATTTTATAATTTTGCTTCATTGGGTGCCAGGTTTAGGAGCTATTTGCCAAATAAGATTTAGGGGACAAGTTAATTTTATTGAAAAAGTGGTTTATCACCTAGTAATATATTTCTTAGCAGTTAATTAGAGTTGGGAATTCATTTCATCAAATGTATATGTATCCTTCACTTGCAATTGTAGCTTTGAGCTTTTAACATTGAATTAAAAAGAAGGCAACAATCCCCCTTCCCCCCCAAAAAATAATTAAAAATAACAAGGCAATCCACAATCATATTGCTCCCCTTTTCAGAATAAACTCATTAATTCCACCCACCACCCACTCCAATGCCCAGGGAAAAGAGCCTTGCAAAAGACCAGGATCTGCTCCGCCGAAGGACCAGTCTTGCAACAGATGAGGTACATCTGGGTCCCATCAGATGGCTTTGTTTCAAAGAGGAACCCCAAAGAGAGCAAATTTGGTCTAGTGGTTAAGGCACCAGGCTAGAAAGCAGGAGATGATGTGAGTTCGAGTCCAGTCTTAGACATGAAACCCAGCCGGGTGGCTTGAGGCCAGTCATTCTCTCTCAGCCCAACCCATCTCACAAGGTGGTGGTTGTGGAGAAAATAGGAGGAGGTAGGTGTTGGATATGTTCACCTCCTTGAGTTATTTGTAAAGATAATTAATGTAGGATACAATTTTTTTTAAAAAAAGAAATAAAGTAAGCCCATCCTTGGCTGGTTGAAAAACCAGGGATAAATTGGAGATAGGCAGCTCTACAAATAACCCAATATTGTAGTTTCTAGGTAGTCTTCATTTGCAGACCCATGTAGAGTGTATTGCAGTAGTCCACATGGGAGATGACCAAGGCAGAACTGAGAGGAGCAGGGCCTCCTAATCCAGGAAAGAGCAATAAGCACTCAAAATGGATTTGTGCATTTGCCATCTGCTTTTCAAGGGTCCAAGAGGATATCCAAATTGTGCATCAGTTTTTTTGAGAGAGCGGTACCCAATCCAGAACCAACAATGAATGCTTCCCAGACCAGAGGGGAAGAATGTTCCTAACCACACAGCCACTTAGTTTCTTCCTCATTCAGAGCCTTCAGATACAGGGAAAGAGCCTTAACATCATCATCTGGTTAGCTAAGGGTTGAGATATATAACTTTGAATTATCTATACATTTAGCTCATGCTAATTGTCTCCCCAGAGGTTGCATGTCGCTATTGAGTAGGAATGGAAGAGAATGAGGAATGCTGTAGAGCAGAAGCTTAAGTCTAGATTTCTTGACTCTGAACTCCAACAGGAACTGACCTTGGATAAAGGAGGAGAAGCACTGCAGAACTAGGCCCCACCATCTCAACACCGAAGCTGGTCCAGGAAGGTATCATGACCAATGATATTGAAGAGCACCAAGATATTAAGGAAAGTTAGAAAGGAAACCTGAGATCATCTACATGTGTGATCAGTGCCACCTTAGTATCTGTGAAGATTCTGAGTCATCCAGGTCATGGCTGTCCCAAGGTGCTTTTTTTCAAGAGACAACTGGACTTTCTTTGTTTTTCCTTGAAGAGGTTTTGGTTCTCATCCAAGAAGCTCCTTCAGTTCACAACTGAAGAAAAACTAAGAAAGCCCAATTGCCTCTTGAAAAAGCATGTTGGGACTGCCATCTTAGTACTATATCCTAACCTGATTGAAAGCAACTTCTATCTCAACTTTCCCTAAAAAGGAGAAGGGACAGTCCTCTTTTTCAACTTGGATGAAAACTATCCAGCTTTATTGAATCTACTGATGGTTTCTACAGAAAGGGACTATAGAAAGTAAGGGAGATGACTTTGATGGAAATATCCAAGAACTGTTACTTACAGAAAAGGGAATGAAAATGTTTTTAATCCCTGAGAATTTAATACAATAGTTGGAAGCACCTCAGCAGACACCATCCTTGATTCTCTGTGGTATAAGAAGTGGGAAGAGCTATAGCATAAATTAGACTTGCAAAATTCTATTGTACTCAAATCTCAATAAAGGTAGTTCTAATCTTCCTATGAGTTGATTTCCTGGGCTGGTCTATCTAGTGGAACTAACTTTAATCTTGCAAGGCTCTTAAATAAGACGCATAAGATCTCAACTTTCTCTGTAGAAATGGCACCCAGTTCTCAGGACACTCCGGTATACGCTGAGCACTTTGCTGCAGTTCTGTTGCAACACCTACAACAGATAAGTAACTAACTTGCAAAATGCCATGATGCAAGTACCACAACAGTTGGGAGAGAATTAACCACAGTCAGCAGCAGTATCACAGCTGCCAGCCAGCTACACAGCAGCCAGCATTCATGAGCTCTCATGGGAGTTTTACCAGAGAAATTCAGAGGAGACCAGGACTAATTCCTGACTGTCATGACTCAGTATGAACTGTTTATGGTGGGTTGGCCAGCAGAGTTTCTCTCAGATCACACTAAAGTGACTTTCATGCTCAGTTTGCTGAAAGAAAAGGCTTGCCAAATATCATTGAGGGCAATCAGCCACATGCTGGACAATGATCAAAATGTCATGCAAAGATTTTTAGACATTTCTTTCAAAATGCCATGAAACGAGTGACTGCAAACCATGAAATCTGCAGTGTGGAGTGCAGGTGAATATAACGGTTTTTAAATTATTTCCAAATATGTGAGATAGAATTATCTGGTTCTAACCGACCGATTTAGAGAAGGGCTTGCTGATGAACTGAGAGATGAACTGGTGAGATGGGGCACCCCAGATAATTTGGAAGAGTTGTTATCATTGATGGCTGACTGGAAGAGTTGATGCAGGGGAGAACCAGCAAAGGTTTTAGGTTGTCCCTTCTCCCATATCTCCTCTCTCAATGACCTCTTGGGAATCCAGTGTAATTATGAAAAGTGGATTAATTGAAAGATCTCTATCCTCAAGAG